TCCTCCTGATGGCCCCCGTCGTCTGCCACAGGAGACCTCCCAGTCCTCTGAGACGCGCCATGTTGGCATCTCTGCAATCCCAGGCCCCTTCCCGGGCCTCCCTCCTTACCTTAGACCATCTCTGGGCTTCCTTCATGGAGCTTTCCAGGGGGCGGGGCCCTGCTCTCTGCCTCTGCTGTGCTCACTGTACCCCTGCCAGAGCCTCCATTGCTCAGGACCCCGAGTGTGTCTGTGTGGCACCTCCCCAATGCTGGCCGCCCCTGAGGCAGGCACTAGGTATGATTCAGCCACCCTGGAGCCCAGCCCAGGGCCCCGCACACGGCAAATTCAAGCAAATGTTAAAAGAAGAAATGCAGTTGCTACACTTCTCTGTCACTTGCCAAGTAATTTCAATGCCCAGAGTCTCAGCTGCTGTCCCGACAGGAGCAAACAGGAAGGGTACAGAAGAGCTTCTTCTACCCTACAGGGAGGGGTGGGTGTCGGGGCTTCTCTGCTGCTGTCAAAGCTACGGAGCTGAGGGTCTCCGAGGAGCTGAGGGTCCCGAAGAGCAGAGCAGACTGCGTAGAGCCACCCGGCACCTACTTGTATCTTAGTGTCTGGCTCACTCTGGGACTGCGGTGGAACCTGGAGGAGGCATCCGCAGCAGCATCGGGGCGTGCTACCCTGGGGTAGACCCCTGGGGTCTTGGGTGAAACCATTTGTTCACAAAGCCCTTGACTTGGGGATCAAAGTGTTTGTGCATCTCCTTCCAGAGTGGCTGTGGCAGATCACTCACACACCAGTAAGACATGAGGGGTCTCGAAAAAAATTCATGGAATGTGCATATTATGAAAAAACGATACACGGACTTCAAATTTTTTTGCATCAAAAATAAACTCGTACTTTAAGTCCAAATTCCCACCAATTCTCTGAAGTCCCTACATGTCTTCCTGATCTTTGCAGTGGCAGGGTTTTAACCTCTGCCAGTCTGATAGGATTGCACTGGGTCTTGTTCTCAGTTTTATTTATCCAATTTCTAGTGACCCTGAGCAGCTTTTCCCTGCCGGTATGGTCCGCTCTGTGAACGGCTGGTCCTTGGCCAAGTTCCAGAAGTTGTTTCAGCGATTATAAGCGTCCTTTATGCATTCTGAAGGTACTCTTCTTGTATGTGTGGCAAATGTCTTTTCCTAATCTGTCTGGGTGTTTTGGCTTTATGTTGCATGCCGTCTGTCAGACAGAAGGCTCCAGTTTGTGTGTGGTCAAAGAGAAGAGGAGACAGCTGTTCGGAAGCTCACGTGAGCACCAGACTCAGGACACCTTCGGTATCTGGCCCCCTTGCCCGCTTTCCTTCGAGTCCCACAGGCCTGGGGTAGCAAGAGGTACCATTGTTCCTTTGCTATGGATTACGAGATGGAGGCCTTGTCTCAGAAGTCACAGGCCCCGCCTGATTCCTTCTGCAGTTTCCACCCCTGTCAGCCCAGCAACCACACCTCCCTCTTCTACCAAGTGGTCTCTGATTTTTCTCTTGAGGAACTCCACCCCTCACTGTCTCTGGCCTTGTGGTCTGGATAGGGCTGGCTCCAGAGGGCTCATGAGACCTCGGCCTGGCCAACCCCGTTTCTAAGCTAGAAAGATAGCTTGGAACCTGCAGTGGGCCAACGACAGCACCGTTCTATCTAGGACTTGGGGTGGAATTACTGAGAAAGAGGCCGCTTCTATGGAGAATTATATTTGAGAATGAAGATAGTACTGAGAAAAGCAGATTAAAAGATAGAGTCAAACCTATTTTTTCTGTCTTTTTTTTTTTTTGGAGAGATTTTCACTGTAGGGCGTGTGCGCTCACCAGACAGACAGAGAGAGACATAGAGACAGAAAGCGAGAAATCACCTCCCAGGGGGGATGGTCACGCCGCAATCCCTTCTCCTCCATTCTCCTCTCGGGATCTTGGGCACGCACGCACACGCGCCCGGCGTGAGTTTTAAGCCACCGGGTCCGGGACACGAACCGCGGTCAACTACGTGGGAATCCAGCGACATAGCCATTACGCTAACTGCTGGTTCCCAAACCTATTTTTGACAATGTCTATGGCTGGATCCAGCCACGCCTGAGGCCTACTATCCCTCAAGCCTCAAGTGGTTCTGTCTTTTCCGCAACAGAGTTTTTGCGAACACACACCTAATTACAATAGGAAATGAAAAAGCTAACATTAGACCCCTTATTTTGAGCCTTTATTGAAGTGTGAGTAGGGCCTTTCAACACTATATTTATCTTTAGGCCTCAGTTTCCAAACCCATGAGTTAGGGATAATCACCCTGTCCCTTCCCCTCAGGTGACTACGACTTACCCAGCTTCTCCTCGGACTCTGGGCAAGAGCAGGGCCTACTGACCCCATGCTCTGACCCCAAGGACATTTTGAATGGGAGGCCAGAAAACAGGATACTTGACAGAAATAACCAGCTGGAAGCTGCCCCAGAGGATATTGGATGCGGTGGAGATAATGGCAAAAAGAGAGAACAGGAAGGAAGGAAAGGGAAAACCACCGACCACATTTGCAGCTAGAACTGGAAAGTGGGCACAGAAAACGAGTTAAATCTTCCCTGTGAAGTGCACACAGAAAAGGGTAAACCTTGCTATGAGTGATTCTCATGAAAATAAAAACTGGAGAAAACCGTAAACATTTAGTGGAGCCATATGGCGAGTAGCTTCAGAAAGTAAATGGATTTAGTGGCATTCCCCCTGGAAAGGATTTTCTAGATGAAACATCGCTACTGATGCGTTTCGGATACTATTCCTCAGCATCCTCGGGGACGCAGCGGTCCATGTTCAACCAGAGCCCCGGCCCAGCAGGCTCCCCCGGTTTTAGCAAGAATGGGTGGGGGTGCCACTCACTGTGGTGATGAACCGGTACAGCGGCTGCCGTCTCTCCGTGTACTTGACCGTGATGGGGCTGAGGTCGTAGCGGAACCAGATGGCAGGGATGATGCGGCCCGTGTGGCTGTAGGCGACGTACTCCTGGGAGGAGGAGGCGGGTGAGAGTCGGAAACACAACTGCGTCTCCCGGAGGGTGGGGGCAGATCGCAAGGCTCCCTGGCCACCTCCCCTGTCCCCCACGGAGCCAGGCTCCACCGCGGCCCTCGGCGAGCCGTCAGCATTTGCACAGGCAACACCGTGGGGGTCACTCTGACCCTCCCGCTCTTTGGAAATATTCAGGGTGACCTGGAAGCAGCACCCGAATCAAGGGAGAGACCCGAAGGCAGAGACGTAAAAGGAAAAGCGATTTCCTGGCCAGTCTGAGCGAAGGCCGGTTTCTCCTGCGACTCCTGGGCCACGCGATCTCCACGTTTGGTAGCGGTGGCTGAGCACCTCCGCTGGTGGTGGGGACCCGTCCTGGACAGGGCCACGGCCCGCAGAGGGAGGCAGACTAGAGACGCCCTTACCCCTCAACATGACGCACCCCACGGACAAGTGACCGACCCTCCACAGGAGCGTGTGGAAGGCTTACCGAGGAGGGGACGTGCTGAGTCACACGTGATGGACACGCAAGGGGTCTCAGCGTGTGCACACGTGTGTATGCAAGTGCACACGTGATAAGCGGAAAGACCGTGTGGGGCATGAGCTAGCTTCTTCAAAGGAGGAACAAACACGGCACTGGGAAGCCAGAAGGCCCAGCCCTGCCATCAGCCCGGCCGAGAACGCACGCGGCGGGCACTAAGAGGAAGCCATGGGGCTGAACGGCTGTGTCCCGGCCCGGCCCCTCCCTCCCAGCTATGGCTTCCCACCTAAACACAGGGGCCGGGGATGGTGACCCGTGGGACCTCCCCGGCTTGGACCTACAGGGCACTAAAAATCTGTGGGCTATTCTTACTCATTTACAGCAACTGGAACCCAAACGAACCACTGGGGGGCTCTGAGTGCTGGGCCTGAGCACCCCGAGATGTTCTTAGGGCTAACTCAGAGGTCTGACCGCCTGGCGGAGACACCGCTGCCAGCTCCCAGGGTGGCGGGAGCCACAACCCCAGGAACGCTGAGGAAGCTCTTCCGGGGAAGGAGCCCGAGCAAAGGAAGATCGGCTTTCTCCAGGGGAGCTGATAGGGCAGAGTTACTGTCTGGGCCAGAGTCCGGAGCTGAGCGACAGAGGAAGAGGCACAACGGCAGCAGCTGTCGCCACCGCAGCCCTCCGCGGGCTCGGCCGCTCGGAAGGCACGCCTCATTCGACCGCCATCTAAGCCGCACGTCCGTGTTTATACGAGCAAACTGAGGCGGAGCAGCTCTGTGGCACGCCCCAGGTCGTGAGCTGGAGAGTGACGGAGCTGGGGCTCGAACTGGAAGTGTATCCCGAGCTCACACCGTTCCCGCTCAGACTCCTGCTACATTCTCCCACCTGTTAGCTGTTGTGGGACCCAGGGCGCCACAAGGTGTCCCTGAGACGGGGGTAAAACCAACAGGACTTCCCTGGGAGTCTCTCGGAACACCAACACAGGGGGATCGCAGCAGAGGGACTGGGTCCCCCGATGGGGGGCAGCCCTCAGACCCCACGGCCCCCTGTGCAGACCCGTGGGTGATGTGCTCAAGAGGCTCGGTCCCTCGTCCTAATCCCCCCTCGACCACTTCACGGCTCCACGCCGCCCTCCCAGGGGCGGGACGGCCAGGTCTGCAGGATGGGCACGGCAGCCGTCCCGGCGTCAGTGCTGTGACGACGGTAATGCGGAGGCCGAGGGCTGGCGTGTCCGCCATCTAAGTGCTCAGTAAGTGGTGGCCGCCACTCCTGCTCCTCCTGCAGTTCTCGTCACCGAGCTAACCGGCCGTCCCCTCCACGCAGCCCGGGCACTGCCCAGGCCCACCCGTCTGGATCAAGGGTGCGTCTCAACCCATGGGCTTCCGACACTCGCATCCCCGCGTGGGCTACCTCTGGGGAAGCCCGAGGCCGCCTCAGCTCGCGACCACTAACCGCAGCTCACCCCACTCCCCACTCCCCACTCCCCACTCCGGCGGCCTGGCCCCCAGAGGCCTGCCTCCTTCTCCGTAAGGTGCAACCCCTGCTCGTCAGTAGGGAATCAATCGGCACCGTCAGCGTGATCTGGGTGCAGGGCTTGAGCTCCACGTGCTGGGGCGCCTTACGTGTGCTGAGCGAGGGACTCGGACCAGTGCAGTCCCGTGTCTCCCAGTCACTCATGCAGAGAGAACACGGGCTCGGGATACACTTCCAGTTCGAGCCCCAGCTCCGTCACTCTCCAGCTCACGACCTGGGGCGTGCCACAGAGCTGCTCCGCCTCAGTTTGCTCGTATAAACACGGACGTGCGGCTTAGATGGCGGTCGAATGAGGCGTGCCTTCCGAGCGGCCGAGCCCGCGGAGGGCTGCGGTGGCGACAGCTGCTGCTGCTGTTTCTCCCTCCCGAACAGCCTTTCTCCCCTTGACTTTGAGGCTGCCAGCGTGGCAGGACCGGGCCTCCCACCTTAAAAAATTATGATGATGATTATCCTCGATACATTGCGTTGCTCCACATCATTTAGCCTGTATAGAGAATTCACCCAACATGAAATACCCCTCGGGCCCGCCCAGGTGAAAATAACACACCAGTCCTCACCAGCGGGTGACAGAACGTCCCAGTCCCGCAAATGTCCTGCCTGTCCATTTTCTCTCCCTAATTACACTTCCCCTCCCCACTCCCCGTCCACACTTTCTTCAGTGTCCCTAACTATTTTCAATTCCATGTCCTCCGATCTTTCAGCCTCTACCACACAGTGCGGACAGCTTACCCACAGACAGAGCCTGGCCAGAGCGGTCCCAGGGAGAGCCTCCCTAAAGGAAGCCCGGGAAACGGAGCAGCGCGCCCGCTCTGTCCAGCAGAGGGCGCGCGACAGCCGGCCGGCCAGCGGCCCACGCACCTTGTTGGCCACCGTGTACTGGTAGGAGTACCGCTGCTTGCCACTCTTGTCCTCGTACACCGTGGGCACGATCTTCAAGATGTAGTCGTGGGAGGCCAGGGCTGCGGGAAGGACACATCACAGCACGATGAGGAGGGGGGCGACGGCCGCTGCCTGGCTGACAGCGTTTTCTCTCATTTCCATCCTAACCCCACACCCTCTTGGCGCCCCCCATCCACCAGCAGATGCCCGCTGCCCCTTCTCTCCCTGGAGACCAGGACGCCAGGAGGGTCCGCCCGTCAGGAGCTCCATCCTGCACCGGGAATGCATGACTTCTGGGAGTGACCCAGATGTCCATCAGAAGGGCAGCTTGAGGGTAAAGCGTGGCTAGCGGGGGACGGCCGGGCAGGGCGGTGGCTAGCACTGGGCACAGGACCGATGCCACGGGGCCGACCGCGGCTGGACGCTGGCTCTGGCTGCACAAGTGTGCGTGCTCCACTCCCTGACGCCTGACGGGATGGAGAGATGGAGGAGAGGGGACAATGGTACGGCCACCTCCCACTGCTGGGTGGTTCTGTCTCTCTCTTTCTGCTGAGCACATGTGCCCTCTGTGAATAACGAAAAAAAAAAAGAGGGAGAAGAG